GGCAATTAATCTATACAATTGCTCAAGCCAAAAAAATCTTCAAGTCTCTGTCTCTCATATCCACATCCAATTAATCTGTAAATTCTACAGCCTGTCCTTCAAAATAGATCAAGAATCCAACCACTTTTTCCAATTTACACCCTGGTCTACACCACCACCATCACTTACTAGGATTACTGAATTACACTGACTGGATTCCACCTTTCCTCCCATTGCTTCCTGCTGTTTAGCAGCAAAGTGAACCTGCTAAAACAAATTAAATGTCATTCTTCAACCCTGGACTTAGTCTGTCCAGTACGTTTTAAATGAAATCCAAATCCTTCAAGATCCCTTTCCAGCTTTATTTCCTACTTTTTTAACCACTGCACTCTTTACACTGACCTCTTTCCAGTCCTCAGCAAGTTATTAAACTGAATTTATAATACAATCCTATTTTTTAAAAAATCAGTAAGTATAAATGTATAAAAAAGTATTATAAAGTGTGGAAAAAATTATCTATAGGTAGCAGGATTACAGAAAATTTTCATTTTTATTGCAAAAGTTTTCTAATTGATGTATTTATGCTTTTATGTATTATTATGCAATAAAATATATAAAAAGCTATGTATAATACCCCTGACACCCAGTAGCGGTATTATTTAACTGTATATGAAATCTAGAAATAAATCGTGTGTCACAGAAAAATCAGAACAAAATAAACAAACTAATAAACCTGCCTATAGACATAGCTAGTATTAACCAATATGTGCTCCAGGCACTTTCATTCATTTCATTTAATTCTCACAACCCTATGTAATGAGAACTATTATTCTTATGTTACTCTCATATAAAATGAGGCTCAAAAAGGTTAAGTTGTTGAAATTGCAGAGCAAGTAGTGAAGCCCAGCTATATCTGACTTGAATGGTCATGGTCTAATACTATTCTGGTTATTGCCTCATCATAGTCATTTACAATAGTGCAAAACTGAAAGAACTTAGACATCCAGTAACAAAGGGATATCATGTAGTTATAAAAATGTTTAATAAAATTAGAATTACATAAAAATTGATGAGGATGTTACATGAAAAAGCATATCACAGTCTATACATGAGTACAAGAAAAATTAATATTTCATACGAAAATATGCTAAAATAAGTCAATACATTGACGCTGGTTCAGTTTGCGTAATGGAACTGAGTGGTTTTCATTTTGTTTCCTTTTGCTTTGTTATTTTCCAGTTTTTCATGAACGCATCAGAACTGCTTTAAAACAAACAAAAAACTAATTTTCATGGAACAAAGGGAAAAGTTTTTGTTTTGTATTAAAGGAAAAACAGCCCAGTGTCTTCCCAAACGGCTACAAATTCGAAGTCTAGATTTAACTAGATAAAACCTTAAGTATTATCGAAAAGGCGATCTTCATTCAATTAACATACAGGGACCCCTCATGGACCAGTTTTCTTCAAAAGATTTTATGGTACTCCTTATTTTTGTTTGTAGCCTACGCTATCACGAGCCTATTAAGAGTTTAACGGGATTGACGATGTCAATGTAGTTTACTTTAATAATCCCTTCCCACGGAAGGAACATAATTCAAAGGTATTTTCAAACCACTTACGGAGTGTGTACCTTGTATAAAAGTAATAATACTTAAAAGGAAGCAAAGGTAATAAGAAAAAGTCGCGACGTTCAAAAGTGCATGTTTGTCCCAAAACCTTGTCTCAGGGCCAGTAAACTTTTTCTGGTATTGTTTGGTGGTGGGGCGCTGAGTGTTTGGCTTTCACGGTCTCTTCAGCAAAAGAGACTGGACCTCCGCTTTAATGCGGCCTCCGCGCGGTTGCACAAAGTGTGTCACTACTCGGCGTCCGGCACAACCCAGCTCTCTATTAGTAGGCGGGCCCACCGGCTGGCCTGGAGGCTACAGAAAACCGCCTCGACTGTAATGGCGGCAACAGCACCCAGCCTGACAGGGGCTGAAGCGAGCTGGCTCCTGCCGAGAGAGCAGACGCCTCAGCTGGGCCAGTGCGGGCGCGAAAGCACTGACTAGAAGTAGGTACCTCTCAAGCAAACTCCACAGGTTCAGGGTGGGGACCGCCCGGGGTGGCAGACCCGGCCTTCCTCGGACAAGCCCACCCCTTTCCGCCTGCGGACGCACCACGCACGCACGAACGCGACTCCATGGGCGGTGCGCGGGCCAAGAGCCACCTACCGGAAGTGCACTCTCACGGAGGCCCCGCCTCTCCAGAGTTTTCCCGCGGACCAATTCAGCCCCTAAGCTGCCGAACTGGCGCTAGTCCTACGAAATGGCGCCTGCGTCCCACGAAATGAAGCTTTTGATGCAAAGCTTCCTGAATTTGCGGAGGAAAAGCAGCAAGAATGAAACATTTGGCTTAAAGCTGGAAAATGAAAATTTGAGCTTAAGTTTGTTGCTGAGTAAATGCTTGCTGAATGATTGAAGTAGTAAGTGGATGTCTGCTTTAATTTTTAACACCTTCAAAAAACCCCATTCTTCCAAAACTACCACAGCAACGGTAGTTGCTGTGTGTGTGTGTGTGTGTGTGTGTGTGTGTGTGTGTGTGTGTGTGTGTTTCACGTGCGGTGACGTGGCTCGGACTACTGGCAAGCCTACGAATGAATGATGTCCACTAATGTGGTCCTCATCAGCACTGCTCAGCTCCTACAGACTCGTCTAAGGCTTCTTTATAGAGCCAATCCATCTCATATTTGGTCTTTCTCTTTTCCTGAAGCCTTCTATTTTTCCATCATTATTATCTTTTCCAAAGAACCCTGCCTTCTCACGATATGCCCAAAGTAGGACAGCTTGTTTTGTCTTTTTTGCCGCCAGCGATGTTTCAGGCTTAATTTGCGCTAGAAGTTACCTGTTCATCTTTCTAGTTGTCCAGGGTAGCCACAGTTTGGGATGAGTCCTTGACAAATCCCCTTACTAGTGTACTCTCAACGGGTAGTATCTTACAAGCTAATTTGGTGAGACATTTTTAAAAGAAATATTTTGCCAGCATCATTTTCTGACTTTTTACTATGCTCTTTTAAAAAAACTTGGTTTGTCCAAATCTAAACTTTAGCCAGTCATAATCTGGCTTCAACCCTGAACAACCTTAGTGCCTATTTTCCCCATCTATGCTTCCCCATACTCTGTGTGCTTAATTAAATCTTCACATTAAAAATACTACAAAGAATTGTAGAGCAGGAGACCAGGGAAGATGATAATATGGTTGGGGAAATTGAGACAGTTCTATGTGTTCTCTATTAATCAACAAGAAGAAAGACTAGAGCTTCCAGACCTTGAGAAAATAGGGTATTTATGGATGCCAATCCAGTGCTCTTTTCATTCCCTTTCCTCAAATACCATTTGACTATCATGGAGTTGTGTGGGTGGGTGCTTAATAAGCAGATGCTGAACAAATGACATTTCTGTGGGAAGCAGCATGGTAAGAAGGAAAGAGCACAGAGCTGGGGGTTAGATTTTAGTTCAAATCCTGGCTTGGCACTTAGGAACTGAATCATCATGAGCAAATTAGTTTCCTTACCTCTTTGCACCAGTTTGCTGGGCTTCTTTTGCCTTAAAGTATATTATTTTACTTTATATCCAAGCTGAGATTTTTTTAGAGGTTTGCACTTATTTCCAAGAAGAGATCTGTAATAGGTTTATAATATATACACTATGATCGTTTAATTTTAAAATTATTTATTTAAAAATAACTTAATTTTTGTCATTTCAATAATATATTTGAGCTATTCTTGACACAGTGGCACCTGGCCTTGTCTTCTTGGGGGTGGGATGCAGATAATGAAATAAATGGTAAATACAAGGCTGAATTCGTAATACTTTTGAAAGATATATAGGGATGAGAATCTACCAGTAGGAATAATTAGAATTCTGAAATCCCAACATATATACAATTAGTATGTAAATGTTTGAAATATAAACCATCTTTAGCATAGTTCTGAAAACCTCCTTTGAAAGAAGCCTTCCAGGTTATATCTGAACCTGACTGCTAAATAGAGAAAGAGAAATCCATGAAGAAAACAATATAATTAAGGATTATATAAAGAAATGCTACAGTTGGGGTAGGGCGAGGAATCCACAAAAAATAATTATCCAAAGATTTAGTATTTCATATTAAGAGAGTTTATGAGGGGAAAACACTTAGCATTTTAACGTTTGAGAATCAGCCAACGAGATACTTATTTTGTATGAACATTTGTAACTCATCTCCTCTGAAAATCAAGATATGTAAGAAGCCCAGATATTACGAGCTCAAATTTCTAAGACAAACCCAAACTGAGTTGATTACAAGAATGAAAGTAATCGTCACTCTGCTTTCAGGTTCCAGAGTACTGAGGATAATCCCCCCCGCCTCCCAAGCGTCAGTAAATGTTTTCTCATACAGTATTTCATTGAACCATTACTGTAGCATCATTATAGAAAAACACAAATCAGATCATATGTACCAAAAATATTAGTTACAAATTCAGTTTACTGAACCAGTGAACCTAACGACCCCAGGACTTAGCAAAGCCTGAAACAAAGTTCAAAGGTTCCAAATAAATGTATCAATAATAGTTACATATTAAAATACATTTATGTTCTATGTGCAGCCCTAACCTTCCAGTATTCTCAATGTCTTTCCACAGAGGTTTCCCTTTATGTCACTTCTGATTGAATTGTGAAGCTAATAAAAAGGCATTCACTATGCCTCCAACAGAGCCCAGAGACAAAATAATCGTCGTTTGTCCTAGTTTGAGAATTTTAACTCAACTTCTGGGCTTCACAGTAAAACCAGTTTTCGGAACCGTACACGTGATACCGATATCCCACTTCCTTTGCATCCTTCTCTAGCAAGTTTCGAGAAAGAAATTAACGTTCGGTTCTAACGCTGACTACAGTGCAGGCCTAAGTCTCCCAACCTTAAACCGATAGCGAGAACCGCCTATAACTCCCCAAACCCCCTCGTCCCGGAAGTTGCGTCATTACGCTCGTGCGCCCTGTCCCCGGATGCACTTTTATATCCGGATTCTTAGAACGGACTCAGAGTTCCACGGTTCCTGACGCGGTTAGCACATGCGCGACGGCTCTGCTCCCTCTTCCTCCACTTCCACTATCCTCCACGGTCCGGGGAGCCGCCGCCACCGCCGCGGAGGAGTCAGGAAGTTCAAGATGGCCGCCGCGGAGGCTCAGTCTCTGCGGGAACAGCCAGAGTAAGTAGTCTCTCTTGAGTGGTACGGAAGGCCGGAGTCCTGGGGACTGCCGAGTGGGAAACGGTGGGGACCTGGACGGGCGGGAAAGTTCAGGCCTAACGGCGGGAGCCAAACTTTGCCTTTCCTCGCTAGATACGTTGTGGGGCGGGAAGTGTGGGGTGCGGGCAGGTGGCCTGCAAGCTTCGCTCTCCGGGAGGCCTCGTCTGTTGGGTCGAAGGCAGCCGCGGCCTGCCGCGCGTCGTTGCCCCGGGAGGCATAGGCGCGAGCGGCCCCTACAGGTCTCATGCGCGAGGCGGCTGCCGCGACAGTGCCGGCGCGCCTTTCTATTACCTCCCTCCAGGTCCGAGCGGAGCTCTCTGGCAGCAGCACTCAACAGCATCGGTGTTGGGCATCCAAGGGGCAGTGGCGGCAGCAGGGCAAGCCCTAAGACTTACCTTCCACATGCAGTTACCTACGTTGTCTACTGTTGGTGTCAGTTTTTAGAAAGAGAGAAGAAAGGGTGCTAGGGCCACCTTCTTTGAACATCCCCAGCTATAGTTTGTGCACTTCGTCTTTCTTCCCCTGCACTCTTTACTTAAGCATCCATCCGATATTTTCCCTTTGCCTATTGGCAGCCTATTTGCCAACTTGTAAACGTGAGACAAAGTAAGATTAAGTCCTTGGTTTTGAGGCCTGGCATTTTTGGCTTGAGTTTATAACGCTTCTTGGGAGTACCAATGTAAGAAATAGTGGAAATTGTTAGCTACTTCTAAATCCAAGCACTTTGTCTATAATTAAGCTAATATAAGAATTTATATGGCGGAGTGAAACCATACTTGTATATGCTGCAAAGGCTAACCGTTGCCTAACTGAAAGTAGTATTTTGTTTTTGTGTGTGTTTATGTTAGGAAAACTTAAGAACATAAAAGAGACTGGATTTTAAAACATTATAGCGACCGTTTTTTTTTTTTTGCGTTAGCATTATCTAATTTGTTTCTAGCCATTTTAGAAAAGAGGTAGATATAGTCTCCCAGCAACTTGGAATTAAAAGATAGGAGAAATCTTTGCCTCCCGACAGCACAACACTTCATTGCTGTGCATCCAGTTCTGGACTCAGTCATTTGCTTTACTCGGCTCAACAGAATTATACTGTTTTTCCCTTAGGGCTTTTGAAAGCTGTTTTATTATCCTCACAGTTTGAGTTAGAAGAGAACAAATGGATTCTAAAATTTTAACTAGACTTTGCCTCTTTTTGTTTCTCTCATCGAGTTCACGGTGTGGCACAGTTACAGTATTTATGCCAGTTGAATATTCTAGTAATCTTTTAAAGTTCTATAGTCTTCCGTCCATTCATTTGATTTTAGGGATAGTTCAGATTCATTTTGAGGAGTAGTTCAGCTGTATTTTATTTACATGTTTAAATACTAGATTCAGTAATAAATGACTTTATTTAAGCCTCTGCAATAAAGAACAATGAGGTAGTCTTTATTTCTACCTTCCCTCCCCACAGAACACTTTGTGTAAATGTAATATTTGGTCGATATGTATTCCATTTTCAATTGTTTGGAAATGTTTAACAAAGAAAATAACAGTTAAATATCTATGAGAGCAAGTACTATATATGCTTTTCTAGTAAATACTGGAATATAGCATCTAAGCAGTTTTTTAGAGAACAGTGAATATTTAAATGGAGTATTCAAAAGTAGAACATTTAGAAAATAAATATTAAAAAGACAGTTTTTAAGTTTCCTGAAGGCTTTTTAAAAAGTGGTTTTTACATTTGTCGTCTCTAGCTCAGCCTTTTTGATGGTTTTAAACATTTACATTTTATATGCATTGACTTATTTGCATTTACCAAGTACCACAGGTTCAGAGCACTAGACAAATATTAACTCATTTAATCCTTGTAACAACCAAATGGCAGTAGATACTGCTTTTTCTCATGTTTTACAGATGATAAAACTGAAGCACAGAGAAATCAAGTTAACTTGCCCAGGGTCATACTAAGTGACAAAGCCAAAATTGACACCCAGGCAGTCCGATTCTAGAACTCTTCTTCTAATGATTATACGGTCTGCTCTGCCACTGTAAATTGTGGCTCCTTTTAAAAATAGCCTTTAGGGTTTGAATCATTTTTATTTATTTCCAGTGTCCCAGAAAGATCCATTTTTTTGATGTGACAGTTCTAATTCTTTGAAACTTAATTTCCCAAACCTGATTTGGAAATGGAATGGGTCAAGGAATTTGTTTTAAGACTAGGTCTTTCGGATTCATTCTTACTTTTACATTTACATTAGTTCTGTATTAATGTTGTTTAATTTGTTAGAGAAACAGGCATAATTACTTTCTTTGTAAAAAATCAGTTTGCTCACCGTTCTGTGTCTCCAAAGCATAAATTGAATGACCCCCAAGTAAGATATCAAAAAGAATATTCTTTGAAAAAAACGTGAAAGAGGAAATTAAAATAACACTAGTGGTTGATAATTGGTCACTTTATTTAAAAATTGTTCCATGGCAATTTTCACTGTGCCAGATGCCCCAATACTTAGGTTGTTTGAAGGGTGAAACTTGTCACTGCATTTGACAAAGAAAATACTGTTAAACACTCTCAGACTGTCTGCACTTCTAATTTAGCTTTGTTCTCAAATAATGTGTTTTGGAGGATGTATTCAGCT